TTCGTTTAGCATGTCTACAGTCCTTCGTGGTTTCCTACAGGTAACCAGTCCGGTGGTCAATATGGCATAGAATAAAATGAACTTCTTGGATGAAAATTGTCAAACTAACACCAATCTACCGACATGCACATATAGTAGTTGAGCTAAGCAAGTTTTCGTGTGCGACGATCACTTAATATTTATACTTCCTAGACGGAGACAGTTTGGATGATAACACCATTTCAATTCAAAACGAAGGTCAAAACAGGAAGAAAGAAGGGTGGATAAGACAGAAAATCGTAAGGGTTAACAGGGTGGAGCATTTTAGTTTGGCAAATTAGTTTCAAAGACTCTTTTTTAGTTATATCATGTAATCTAGTGAAAGGATCGGAGAAACAACAGCCCCGTGTTAACCTTATTTTTTTATTACACACGTTTGGGTCCAACAGCAGAAGGCGCAGTCTCATGTTAAGAAACGGACCAAAAGCGAAGACGGTCATGTGCATACCATAGCATAGTGTTTCACATCAATAAATCAATTAACATTTAAAAATGAATGCTCAGTTGAAGTAACCCAGGAACTATCACCTTCTCACCTATGCGATTTGGGTTCACCATTCAAATCTGAATGCTATGCCACCCTGTAAAGCCCGTGATTAACGCGTTGGATGCACAACTCATTACAAAATTGAGGGTGTAACAGACAGAAAATATCCACAAACTCGGCGATTGTGTGCATGGATTGCGACTCACATTTATGAATTCACATAACCAATATAAATTTGATTCCAGCTAATTATGCTGACCGTAAACTAAACAAAACTGTATAATTAATAGTATACGAATGATATCATTCACACCAGTTCACGAACACCTTGTGCTCTGAAAATTAAGATGCAGGTCGACTTGGGAAAGATGATCTGCGGAATCGCTTTGTTTGCAAAACGCCATCATAAAAAAGACTCGGAGAAAGGTAAGCAGATGAAGAACGCATCGAAAGAATGAAAACGCCTGACCTAGAAGGGTCTTATGTGGTTTGCTACTCCAAGTCCCGAAGCTCAGGTTGCCGGTTACCCTCACTGAATAGCAGGTCTTCGTGACTATGGGGTCCGCCTCGTCTGCTGTCTATCACCTACCGGTGTGTAATAAAAAACAGTGCATGATGAAAGTAGAATAGACGCATGAGAAAGAGAAAACAGTTCATGGAATGTGATCATTCGCATTTAACCTCCAATCAGAACTTCAACAGTAGGGTGAGGGGATAGATTGCACTTGAGGAGGAATACTTTATCCGCAAGGGATATTGTACGTTTGCTGCCCCGCTGGGTTCATGGGTATATTCACACAAATTTATTGAGCCAGTGTCACTCGTTATCTTTGTGTCCCGACCGAGAATCCAGGGAAGTTCGATAAACTCTAACTAACATGTATTATATAAAACCCTTAATAAGTTAAAATTTCTAAAATGAATATCTGTAACGCGAATATATGTCAGCATATGAACTGACGTAAGCGCTATCAGGGCATCTAATTCAAGTCACACAGAACTTCGTAGTTTGGAACTGCCAATATGAATTGTAGTGACAGAACACTCACAACAATGGCAACCTGGTGATAACGGTCGAAACTACAAGACTCTGTCATCAGCCATAGCTCGACATCTTCTGATGACGCAACACCAGATCGACCGAAGCATGGCGTTTCGGATTATCTACAAGTCACGAATCGCAAGATTGCTACGGTTTGCAGAAGCGATTGCTATCAGTCGATGGAAGCCCCACTTATGTCAACAAAAATAACTTTATGTTAGTTTATCCTTACCCTGGTGACAGTCTTTTTAACCCCTCTCCCCCTTTTATGTTTGTCTGTTTCATTGTATTTTACTCTTCTTTGTTGTTATGCTAAATTCCTATATAACTGATGTTTTTTCTGCAGTATGCAACATGTTGAGATGCAGCGAAATCGTCCTGGACATAAATCGTGCAGTATTGCAATTTAGTCTTGTCTTTTGAAACCCGGTGCTTATTTTTTCTCTCACCCCGTCTGTTTCCAACCACCATCACCTCGATCTCGTATAATTAGCTTAAGATTTTCCAACTATATCTAGGTCATTTCAATCATTGAAGTTAAACATTTTCGATTCAAATTATAACACCGGTAAGTCCAGTGCATTTACACTACGGTTGGTTCGTAAACGTTGTGCAAAAGATTGACAGTATGCTTTCAGGACCTCGAGACAAACGATCACACATGAACCCCGTACGATAAAACGGCATACTCAAACTGTGTTTGGTAGATTTTATATGTTATGCTTGAATTGTGAAAATTTCAGTGACCTAAGTGGGATTCGAACACACACATGGACGCCGTCTACGCGTTTGTGCAACGCACGCTCTTTCACTTGAACTACCAGGCCACATTGACAACGCTGATCTTTTCACACATGGGTTATCCACGCAACTTAGAGGCACATGGAATCCAGCAGGTAGCATGTAGGCTGTCTGCCACGTCAGGCTTTCTTTACAATCCACCAAATGCCACCTAGTGGATTCCGTATACCTCTATAAGTCGGATGAGTAACGCAAATGTGAAGACTAGTGCTATCGGTGTTGCCTCGCAGCTTAGCTGGTAGAGCATGTGCTGTACAAAAAGACATGCGTAGAATGAACTGCTATCACTTAGTCAGAATGATTATGGCCACCGTTTTTCCTACCTTTTTAATCCACACGGACACATTCACAAATGAATAGAATTGTTTTATCGTGCAGCTGATAGGATTTCAGCATGTCAATTGCATATATCAGTTTTGGATCAAATTTAAACCAAATCATACGACCAGTTCGAATTTATAGTTTGGTTGACCAGGAAGCATATGTAGTCAGGCTCTGTTTCGTTTTTTGTGTTGGTTTGTGACTGGGTTGAAGAGAAGTAATTCCAAGTAATCCACTTTCAAATCGTCTATGGTTTCGTGGTAAGCATCCCAAGTTTTGCAAAATCTTCCGAGATTGGTTGAACGCCACGCGAATGTCAACGAAAAACTACAATGTGAGTGTAGAATTTTCAATAACATCGTGACACACTGCAAAAGAAGTAAACCTTCAAATCAATCGATCAGAGGGCCCAAGAATGTGTGTCAGAACCATCAGTTTTACTAACCGTGGTAAGAGTGTAACAACCAATTATTCAACGACTAGTCCTATGAAAGATCAACGGTGTCAGGAATTAGCTTGATTAGGCTCATAAGATGAGGTAAATAAAGAAGAATCCAAAAAAGCAGTAGGATCTGTGAGGATAACTTGATGTAGAAAAGTGTATAGGGATTCTTATTCCTGTTTAAATCCAACTTCAGGGATATATTTCGCTTAGAATTTTTTACTGCTCTAGGACAACACAACTGGGAACACCACTATTGTGGAATCTGTATACCCCCCTCTTTACGCAACTGTACGCGCACTGCAGTCTAGTCAAGCAATGGAACAGAATCATTGTGCGGCAAAAACACTTATTTGTTTAACTAGTAGCCCAATCACCATGTCGGCAAGCAAATTCAACAATCTCAGTATGCAAGAGGAGACAAACCAAAAAGCGTGGATGAATCAAGTTTAGCGATTATACGAACAGCATCATCCAGCGTATTCGCGTTCCAACATTTAGGGTATGCAAGTGAATAATCACAAAAAATCAGAATGATCTGTATCGGTTAGTCCTTCACATACTTTCCTAAATAATAAATAAATACAAGTAGTCTCTCTCATATTTCACAAGCAGTTCACACAAGAAAACGTTCTTGACCAGGAAACCAGCTTCGTCAGTGTTTATCTTTATTTCAGAGTATATTTTAATTAATATAAATTGGAAAAAATCCAACATCCTTGAAGAAGCATAAAAGATGCTGAGGATAATAGGTGAACGATCAGATGAGACTGCAACTAAAGTAATATCATCGATCAGAAGTAGAACACAGCATTAAATCATTTAATTATCGCTTATATGACCCCGTCTAATGAAGATGAAGGCTGATATTTAAATGTGTTTTCCACTGACTAGTAAGTGACCATTAAGCGTAACTAAAGCATTTGACGAGAAATATTCTCAATTTGTCGATCCCTTAATCCTAGCTTCCTACGATACTACATTGACTGAGAAATTTCGCAGTATGGTTAGAACCTGCAAATTTATGCTTGTGACTACGGTTTTGGAAAACCGGAGGGAAATTCCATAAAACCGGGGCACCGGAATAATCAGTGTGCAATGCATTCTATGCAGGTGAAATTCTGGCAAAAATAGGCAAATTTCGCCCGACAGATAGCCTCGTATTTTCGGAGCTCACATAGAGTGTGCCACTCTAAGACATCTAAGGCGCCTTGGTGCCACATCCACTTGTCCGTAAAGAGTCGTGTGTTGTATGTTTCTCACCAATTCTACCGTAGATTTGGTCAAGGTCGATTTCCACCGTATACACAGTATTATGAGTTTGATGAGACAACTGGACGAAAAACGGCGAACTTGGGCAGAGATTTTTTGGGGTAGCCATGAGTGCTTATTATTGCCAGGGCTAGTTTTTCTTGGATTACATTGTTATATATTGTTGGATAAACTTTGTACGGTGCAGTGTTTCGAGAGGTAGGTGACGTTCGAATGTCAACAGTGTCCAGAATGTTACTCAGAGCAAAGATATGAGGATCTCGATGGGTAGATTCGGTCATACGCGTTTTTTAAGCGCCCGATTAGTGAACCTCGGGTGAGAAAAAGTGATATGGTTGCGTCAAAAAAGTGCGAAGGTAGCGCACTTAATTACTTGCCCTAAGCCTCAGGTTCATAGTAGACCGTGCATTTGTCTTGGTAGCAATCGACCGTTGTTCACTTTCACTTTTATCTTCATTTGTTCGCAAAAAAACAAGCCCGAGGTATGAGAACGCAGGCTTAACTGCGGTACATAACAAAATTGACAGAACAATGTCAAGGAAACCAGAGGTGGTAACAAACCGATCAATCAGACATCTGTGAGGTGGCACACTTACGCGCCCTCCCGTTGATCAACCACGTAGCGCCGAACACTGATCATATCACTTGCGTACTGATTGAAGGCGTTGTCTTGCCAGCCTTGATCATATCGCGCTTGTTCCTCCTTGGACAAGCGATCACGATTAACCGAAAACCCGGCACCACCCTCACCTGATAAGGAAACAACAGACAATCGTTATTTGGATAAAATTGGTGAAATGAGGAGTGTGAATGATATCAACCGCATGTGTTTCAAGTATATCAGGAGGAACTTGGGGCGAAAACGAAGTGAGGGCTGGATTGCTTCAGCTTGGTTTCCCATGGCGAATGAACAGCGATTTATGCACTATCATACACGTTATTCACAAATGATAACGTTTCATAGTAAAAAGACGACCAATGAAGTGTTCTCAAATACTCTGTGATTTATTTGCTAACGCTTCAATTATACGTAAACATGTCAGCTAAAGACGAAAATGTTCATCATTTTGCTTTAATTGCAATGCCCACGATTTTCACTGATTTAATTACTAACTAACATAATTCATTTTCTTCAAATAGTTTCCACCTGCTAAAAAAACTTACAAATAAATTCGGGAAGAATGAACCGCTGTGGGCGGTGATCAGTCACAAAAGCATTTAACGAACTTGGTCGGTTTAACCTGGAGTTTAGAGATCAAATTACTGTTCACACGAAAGATTCTATCGTAATAATCGTACAAAAACTGAAATCACCAGAAACGCCGCGAACAATGCCCACCCAGGTCCTCAGTCTGCTCGGAAAATCAACAAGATATCACAGCCAAGTAGACAGCAAACAAACAACAACCCAGAAAACCAGATATTTCGGAGAATGATTCAAACACGTCGTTATAATCTGGCAAACGGAAAACAACGTGATATTCAAACAGTCAAAAAAGGAACAAAACAACTAAATGATGCAACGGATCAATTAAATTCAGCAGAACTATGAAAGTCATGTTCACAATAACTGCTAAATAACAGTCTCATTGAATTCCCTAGCATCACTAGTTGGCACGAATTACTTGGCCCACAGTTTCGGACCACTTATTGTCTTGTGTCCGTTGAATGGGTGATCAAAAAAAGCAAGCTTCTCAAACAGGAAAAATACCCAAAGGAACAGTCATTGTTATGTCCTCGTGTGGATTAATCGCTGTTTGGCTGAATGCAGATTTCGAAGTAACAGCTGACTAATAGACGGCACCGTTGGTAGGTCAGACGCAAACATGTGTACTGGGGAAATAAAACGTGAAATAAACACGCCAACTACTGCCACCTGATTCAGATTAATAAAGCACAGCATTCCCCATCACGGAAGCACTTCATGGCATATCTTAGTAGGTTAATTTGGTACAATATTCGATTGGACCAAAGTTGATGGCACATCAACGGATGGTCATTGCTCATAACATGCGGCGGGTTTAGAGCGGTGAAAGAAAAAGGTAATTCACTGTTAAACGTTTATTAGGTGTGGGGTAGATTTTACAGATAAAATTGCGTAACATTGTATCCACCGCCTGGAAGTATTCTGATCCATCATTCTGATCAAGCGAAATTGTTGCAATTTACTTCTTACCGCTACGTTTCAAGACTAGACTAGCAAAGAGACACCTCGTTCGCCCCCCGAAAATCTGGGAGACAATTGGAAATAGGTTCACTGTTTCGTCTAGACTGTACATGGTTTTTGTTTGTTGTTGTTGTTGTTCCCTTTATCCATTTATGTGTTCAATATTCGGGCCTCCAAGCTCAGAATCGGAACTATCCTATTAGACCTAGACATTATACATTCGCTGCATGTCATCATCATCATTATTATCGTCTTCGTCATATATGGTACCACGCTTCAGCGCGTTTAGCTCATACCCTAGTTCTGATTCACATTAGGCACGAAAGGCTGCGTCAGATAAGCGATGAGTTACTCCCCTATTTTGCTGTTTTTTTCCTGCGCCCAGTGAATGAAAGAGTGAACCGCATAAAAACTAATGAACGATTAGATTCAACGCAGGTGGTCCAATAGGATCTGCAATTTCGTACTGAGCCACGACAAAGGTATTTTGCTGCTATATGGTCGATTTGAGTTAGTGGGCATGTTAAATTGGAGCGCTCCGGAGCTTCGGCTCAATCGAGTGACTTCGGTGAGTTTGTCGTAGAACTCGTCCTTCTGTGCGCCCCAACTGCAGTTGGTCGATACATACGCTGATAGACCCTGGAGCCACATCGCACATGATCGACTGTTGACGGAGAGCCAATCGATGAGTGAAGCTTCAGACCTATTATTAAGTACAACGCCTACTCCACACTGACTTACCCGGATTCGCCGTCATCTAATGTGTGGAGTAAGTGCCCCGAAGACAAAACCAGCGCACTTAATTTGCTTATAGTATCAGAGCCCTGGATTCGCGTCTCCGATAAGCAGCAACATCAATTCCAGTGCAACCGCCAGACACGCTTGTCGACCCACATGCATCAGAGTCCTTACATTGATGGACCCCAGATTCAGTTATTGACGAGACTTCAGAATCTGCAATCCCTTTTGTGATAGACTACTTACAGTGCCACTTGGCAACGAACTTTGGCAAATGACGAACAAGTTGTCTGTGGGAATGTTACGGGTCCTGAGAAGGGATAAAGGGAGGGTTTAACAGATTTTGGGGTCTCTGAGCAGTAACTCAATTAACACTACGAACGCCGATCGATGCAATGGGAAGCGCGGTCCTAACTATCCTGCGCGAATATCGATGCAGCATGGAATTCTTTATATTTTGTGTATGCATTGGAGTTTGGTGAGCTGGTAATGCTAGGGTGTCCTGCCACCAAATAGAAGAACAATTAGGGTTCTCGTCCAAAATCTTTACTTCTAACAAGAACTTGACCGCAAGGCAGAGGGTATAGCGAACTGAAGGACCATTTACTCGATTACTCCTCCACCATTTTACCGAATGGGACGCCAACCCCAGTCGAACCCCCAACCTGGGGGAACAGGAGATTAAAGTTTATCCGACATCTACCCTCTGACATTCCAGCTGTGATCAGATCTCCTGGCTTGATAAAAGCCATCCTGTGTAGCTCGCTGGGTCAGGGAGGAGGGCAAGTTGTCGCATTACGTCAAGGAGGATTCTCCTAGTGATGGAGGTGGTTAAGTGGTTTACGATGTAAATGGCGTACTTTCAGCCTCAAGATCTGAGGTTGGAAACCAGGTACCACCACCCAACTTTGGTAGTAGGCTCAATACCAGACCTTTCCCACTGGGGCCTGGTGCGGTTTGACACTCTAGGTGCTACGATTTATCATGACGATGACATTAATCCTTTCTGATGTTGCAAGACTTGTTTGATGATTACTGTACACTTTGTTGGTGTTGGTACGTTCTCTGAGCTGGAAATATCGCTCGCAGACGTTTCGCAGTCGGGTTTGGCAAAAACGTCATCGGAAAACACACCAATACCAACATCCATTTCCCGAGCTACAGTCATTTCACATTATATTCAATATTGTACAATTTATTTTATCAACAGAATTAAGGTAGGCCACAACAGACACAGTTCGGTGCAAATAGATCGATGGGCCCAATTATTGTGATTTCATAGAAGTGTAGCACAAAGACACACGCATACACATTTCGCTCTGAGAATCCGACAATGATCGAACAATCTGTCAGACCTACACCAAATAACAACACTCACCGCGGAGAAACAAACAGACCAACAACTAACTGCCCATTGCGAGTTTTGTTTGCCTCAACTGTTGGCACACTGAATGAACACACTGATGAAGGACGAATGACCCAGTCACCCCGAATCAAGTCCTGTTCCCCAAACCACAGGCCAGATTCCTCTGGCTGTCCTATCAAGTAGTGTGTCGTGATGAATCTGGTCTGTCAGCGACACAGGGCTAGAGAGTTGGTTATAAGCGCCGCGTACGCCATTCATGTGTTAGTCATCCCAACATTCATAAGAAGTAAATGTAGTACCTACTCCCACCCGGAATCGTACAGGGGTAAGGAACGGTCATTCAGACGGGGCAGGATAAGGTTCGAAGTGAAAGAAGAATAGAACAGGGAGCATACGAATGATAACTTATTGCTTCCCGCCTCGTGATGTGTTCGGTAGGGTCAATAATCACAGTCGGTAGTCATGTAGTGTAGCTGGAGACAGTTCTCGTCAATGAAGAATGGTACAGACCGTCACATGAACAACGAAGATGTGGTAGAAAAAGACTCACTTAGAGGGAAGGTTTTTCCTTTTTCAGTCCCAATTTCTGGCAATCCCAAGCACAAATTTCATGAGACTGTCTCCCGTTCTGCTAACGCTTTACATTCCATATTCTATTCTGATCTGTTTTAGAACGCTCGACACCACCTGAAGCCGTGCATTGATTAAAATATAACACGCATCAAATATAACCCCGTAAAGCAATAAATTTATCGATTTCGACTATCCCATTCATCCTTCATTTAATTATTTTCCTTTAGGCTGTATTACATAGAAAATTCCGATACACTGAGTAGCGCCATGTATTATCCAAAATCCGAAGTAACTAGATAAAGCATTTAGTGTGTACCGAACCAGTACCTAAATGTGATAAGCCAACTTTTGACCCATTAACTATCTACAATCGGTTGTGGGCAAGTAAGAAAGTAGGATGGAGCATAACACCCACTGCAAGCAAAGCACCCATATCAAGGAAGGTGCGAGACACAGCTAGATAGGAACGATTAAACAACTGTGTCGTTAACTGGAAGTGCCGAAAATGTTGTCAGTGTTGAACCACTCAGCGTTATCTTTGGACTAGAAAACGAACTGATTGGTGAAAACCGCCACAGATAGCTATTTTTCTGACCCGATCCGATTTCGAGCGTCGAATTATTCACATCTTTGAACGCAACCTGGTAGCACAATGGTCATTCCGTATGACCACAGTAGGAGTGAGTGAGTAAAACTACTTCAATATTTTTTTCTAGCATGTGCGGATTTAGAACTCGACACCGAATTTCAAGAGAGGGAGAGAAAAAACGACAAATCTGTTACAGGTAACACGTTGAACAGACCCAGTTTCAACCCGATTTTACGTCAGTGAGACACACGCGAAAATGAAATATATTATTCTCCATGAGATCCCGATCGTTTTATTCTCCAGGAATAAAACACCGACCGGTGGTGACTGACAAACAGACTCCGCTCAAGGTAACTTTATCTTACAAGATAACAACGTTTCTTTCTTCAAGATTAAAAAGTGAATTTTATAAAATGCAGTCTTCAACTAATAACGAAAGATTGATTCATTCTTATGTAATCAAACATACATGCTTTTGGGAGTTAATCTGGTGAATCACTTGAATGTGGGTAGTGGCCGAAAATACTTTCAACAAATAGATTGAATTCGTCCCCACACTGAATACAAGCAAAGCCAGTGCAAACTTCGAATAGTATTTATCAAATAATAACTTGTTATTCTGTGGTGGACTATCAGAAGAGTGAGTAGCTGCTGGATTGCAGAGATGTTGCACCACTCAGGGGTTCTACATTTTCCTATTTGACCGCAAATTTTCAACCCCGATTTTCCTGCAGTATTAAATCAGATCAGTTGATGTGAAGCAACACTTTTGAATGTTTCATCTGTTATTAGCGGGATTTTCATAACCAGGTTCCGGCAATTAGCATGAAAACGTATCCAAGACTCAGGTGGTAGGTAGTAGTGGAACATCTGGTTAAGAACCTTTGGATAAAAGTGTTTCACATTTATCACTCCTTTTTTCACTTGTAACTCCAAAACATTGTTTATCCGCGGCACAGGTACTCTAAGGTGACCGTCTGATGAGGATACAACTCAGTTAAGTGTCCAATTCATTCTACTGTATTGTATAGCGCAAGCATTTAGGCCTAGATGTCAGTTCAAAGTTTTGGCCATTACACTTTGAAAAATCACTAAAATTATACCCCTTAAAAATAAATTAATAAGTAAAGATGTTTGTGAATTTGCAATAAACCCACGTAGCAAAGTTTCATGGACATTCGATCGAAGATCAAATGCTTTTGATGACAATTACGAATCAGATCAAACTGTTGCACGGAACCATATTACCACGTAGATCACACATGACCGAGCAAAGATGAAAGGTAAATTGGTCAATAAATGTTGAGGAATATCAATAAATCAGTCATATCAAAAGATTATAAAAATCCCGGAATGTTCATCACATAATGCAACGAAAGCTTAAGTCGAATGCAGTATCACTTGTGATGCAGTGAGGATAATCTACCAGAGGGAGTTGAAGATTATGCGCCATTGCACTTCGAATTGTCACGGTGAAAACGTATGAAGAAAACATTGCGAAAGTAGCTTTCGTTACTAATCGCTTTGTTGTCCTCAAAATAATCATCAACCTCCCCTCCAACAACAAGTAATGTGGTTACTAAAGAATCGCTTTGTTTCCAGAAGAGCTTATCTCAAAGAATAATTGGGACGATGAAATGGTAATACTTCGTGGGAGTCTGACTCAACAATCTCGATAATAAGACCGAATTTTAACAGCCTTACAATACAGGAGTGACTTTCGTTAGATCCAAACAATCGTTTTTGTGGTCCCTGTTACTCAATAAGTACGAACTTGTCGAGACGAATCGACCTTATTGATTCTCTGAGGTATGCACTCTCTAAAATGACTCCCTAAAATGCAAATGAAATCAATACAATTCAGTTCAGTTCCGTCTGTACAACCATTAACCATGTACTATCGTGCGCCGGTTTTGTTTGCTGCCATTTGGCTGAACATTGGGAGAAAGATAGCAAGGTTGAAGCTAGAGTCGAAGAGAAAATTGGGAGCCATGGCTGCAAAGAAATTGAGAAAATGGACGACACTCAACCATATCACTCAGTATCTCTAACCATCGGGTACGATCATCCCGAGGTTCCCTAAGGGGAGCTATGTGACCCAGTCCCCTGGTTAGGTTAGGTCCCACGGCGAACATCGCTCGCCGTGGCAACCTATCTGGTGACACGTCTCAACCAACGTAATCTATGGAGGTCGACCATTTACTCGTATGAAATTAATGTGGCATAATTTAATGCCGGGAGTGGAAGTGCCAGAATAAACTGATAGAAGAGTACCGAGTACCAAAACCTGGTGAACCCCCAGGACTGTGAACCGGATAGTGTTCTTTCAAAGAAATTAAGTGTGAACATTCACACATACATAGAAGATTTTAAAACAATTTAGATTATTTAGACGAAAAAGTGCGCGTGTACATACATTATGCCGTAGATATCACACGAGCGAACCGCCAAAACGGTTGTTGTTTTTCTGTTCTACAGAAAATATCTGAGGATCGAATTAGGGGCAGATGACCTTAGATGGAACTTCTGGGTGCATATTTACGATCGAGACTGGGATATGATCGCCAACATGTCATGCACGATGTAGATGTAGACCGAGGTCACGAGAACAGTACACACGACAGTTGTGATGTTTTGATGGACTGTGCACTAGTTGAACTGAGATTATTCGCATAACCTTAACACTTGAGAACTTGAGATAGCGGGTCGAATAGCATCTGATGAGACCAAACACTGATACATCTCCGTAATTTTCCATTAGAATGAGAAGACTAAAATAGGCGGAGGATGTTATCGAATAAGGAATACTTCCAAGCAATGAACTGTTGAACGAATTCTAATTTCCAATTCTAAAATAACACCTATCACTTGCTTTAAATTGAGAAAATGTGCACTTACACCCTCCGCTTCGGTAGCGGTGATTAAGTGGTATTGATCACGAGTACATCGCCCCGGTTGTCGGCTGTTCCAACTCCATAGTTTTATAAATCCTTAATAAGTTTTATTCAGCCGGTCAGTGGCACTATGTTTCACTTGCGAGCATTTGGAATAATAGGAAAAGTTCGACTGAAACCGCAAATGAAAGCCAAGTACGGAGCACGTATCGATTATTGAGACAGTCATGCGCATAAGCGGCCTAGTCTGGTGCAGCTGACAACCACATGATGACAGTTACGCAAATCAATACACCAATGTCCAATTTGGGGCTTACAACCGGACTTAGACGACAACTACGTAGTCTTCGTCACTCGCAGCCTCCTGTCAATCAAGAGGTATGAATACAAATAGGATAAAATCAAAGGATATCAACATACTGGTTGGGGCGAGAGGAGATATTCCATCTATAATGATTGGATCTCCTGAAGTCGCAGCTATCAATGATGGCATTAGGGAATACGCCACCGCTAGCATCACCATGGAACCTTCGGATACAGGGACCATTGACAAAAAAAATGCTGCAATTACAGAAATCATCTTTTAGTGACCGGACGGGTTTTCAAGCGTGCACCAAGTTCAAATCCCCATGCGAGAACACATGAATTCACTAGCCTTAATAATCAAATCCGATTTCGACTTGCGACTCATACCAACAGGATTATCAACTACATGCATGCACTCCATGGCACAGCTGCATAAATACACACGAACCAAACGCCGACAGTGTAAGATGCGCAAGGTCACGTGCGTTCAACATCTCAGAACAAAGCACACGTTAAGCAGGATTTTTAAATAAACCGTTTATTTGACTATGTAGCTGCTTCTGCTGCTGTGGTGGTCTGATAGTGAATACATCAAACTCGGCCAATCAACTAGAAACCAGTACATACGAATACGCACAATCTTTCTATAATGTCCGATTAATTCGCTTCCGGGTTATAATAAATAGAGAACAGTATGCATACAAGAGGAAGAGTTGCGAAGTTCATTCCCTCTCCGGTATGGAGTGATAAAAGGTGCTACTATTATTATTATTATCCCAGATTGATTACAGCCTTCTCAGATAGGTTAAAAACCAAACATTTTTAATTTTATGAGCGCCAAAACACTCGATCGGATACGACACAAGTAGCACCCAATACTTTTCGGACACTGCACCTGAAACAGAACTATCAGCATTTGATTCTAGATTTATAAAACATCAAAGTGAACGTGTAAGTTGAATTTAGAACGAAGTTCCCTATTCGATAGAAAACCATTTAATATAGGAATCGGCGTGCTATACGCACTCTGGGATAGTTAATTCTTGAGGATGCAGTAGAGGAAACTCAATTTGTATTCCGGAATATTACTAGCGACACAGTGACAACGATGCAGAAGATCAAACATTGTCGTCCTTATTACCACCACAGAAACATTTTGAACATTTTACACACCGAAAAGACTAATGGTACCAAGATATCGACAATGTAACAGATCATTTGAGCCTTATATACCAAAAGTGGTCTACTTGCACTTCGGTTTCTCCGCCTCAAACAGTAGAGGATTCCAATCGCCAAACCGCACTACGTACTGAGCTGTATCAGTTATCAAAGAGTTGTCAACCTAGAATGGTCACCGTCGATAACAGTGAGAATGGAACTACAAAGAAAATCTGGTAAGGCATGTCATGCGGATTTAAACAGTAATGGGGTTACAAAGTCTCGTTATGAAAGTCCAGTATCGATCTGCTCCCAACAACAGCGATCGGTGTTTGACTAATCCCTACAACAAAGCGTACTCAGCTTTTGCTAGGTCGTACAGAGTTATGATAGCTACATCTTTACAACATCTCGTAACCCAGTCAATCATACTGACCATCAGTTTTAATTAATTCCGAAGTTCAACTGAAACGTTAAAGATGATGCATTTTTCCTGCAGCCCTAATAAAAAAATTGAACCCATCAAGTTAAAACAAAAGTGTAATATGGAAACTCAATTCAAGCGCTATTGCCTTGAGCAAGCCAATTCTCATCTTACTCACCAGGACCGACAGAATTTTCATCACTCTTCGGGGGTGGGACACGAGGATGTAAATTTAGCCTATCTATAGCTGGTAGAACTGGGGCGTGCGCCGGTGAATCATTCGCCTCGTGCTCTTTCATTGCCCCTATAGCATCCGGTTGATGGACTGGAGGTAAAGCGTTGTGATGCTCATTGTCATCTGGAGCGTGGTCGGGTGCGAATAATCCTGCTTTAAGTTTATCTGCTTCAATTTGGGCTTCCATATCCCGACTGTAGTACCACTGCGTGAATAGTAACAGGAAGCAGGCCAATGGAATAAGAAACACAAGGAGTCGTCGCCATCGTAAAAATATCACCTTCATCCTGCTGAACCTGAACTTGTCACGCAGCCCTGAAACAAAGAATAGAACGGTAATGGTTAGATTGTGCAGTCTTTAGTTTGAGATAATTTAGTGTTCACTCGTGCTGTTGGTAGTCCTGGGGGTTAGGGGTCTATTACGGAGAGCACAGTTACGGAATACGAAGTATACGTTTCCTTTGTTTGATGATAATAGTTTAACATACTTATGGCACAAAAATGATTCACCCAACTGGGAACGCGGTTTGTAATTAGAGAAATTCAACTTGGTTTACCCGCTGAGCGGGTCAACGTATCGTTGGCTTTACCCATCGAAATGTGAGGTTTATTGGTGAGAGTTTGACTGAACCTCAACTGTTAATTAACTGAATCAATTTGGTTTGGGAAACAATGGGAAAATTGTTAATTAGACGCCATACACAATACCATGTGCATCAATACGGGCTTTCTGACCTCTATGACAGAGAGCTATAAAGAATGGCTCAGCAAAAACGTTGATCAAAACATATCTAAAATACCAATGCGTAGAAAGCAAAGAAAACACGACTTCACATGTCTAACTGAATAGGCACCTGGTTTTCTTAGGCTATCCACTCACACTGCTCAAGAGGACAATCCAATGAGTAAATGCTAGGAGGAACACTACTCGCTAGATGGACAATTCCGAAAGCCTCAGCTTGGTCGAGAGTCGGTGTCTCAGGTTGTGATTGCTCACTCTTCCCTTGTGTCCAGTGAAAAGCTCCTGTAAAACCAAGCGTCTCAACTAGCCCCTGTTGAGGAAGCTCTTCTCACCGGCGGTTTTTTCACTAAAGTTAGGAGACTAAAATTCAAAATCCGGGGCTATAACCGGGTTGGTAAACTAATAACAATTCATGGTTTCACATCCAAATTCGGAACCGATGTTTTTGAAGAAATTGTGCGTCGTCAACCGAAAGTTGTTGTTTTTTAGTTTTCTCTCGTTGTGGCTAGTGACAGTTCATCTAGAACCTTGATTTTAAACCAAATATCAAGAGAAGTACAAAACACAAACACATACACCTTCCTGATAGTAGCAGTGGTCAACGGTTTCATTAGACATTGAGGTATATTGCAACCCTGAACGTTTGATGCCGTCCGAAAGGCACATGATCCGATGAACTGGACACACAATGGATTGCGGGTTTTTTATACATTACGCTAACTTGCGGTCACGCTTTGGTTAGTCAAAGGTCCCGGTTGTAAATTTCTCAAGAATATTTACCGCACTTGGCATGGATAAACTGGCAGCATTCCTCTCTCAAACAAATCATAAAACCCTTTCTTTTTATAAAGACCATTGTACTGTGGTCGTTTGGCACAGTTTAGACTCAGAAATGAACTGTATACCATAGGCAGATGCAGGAGCAGGGGATCCTCAACTTCCTCCTCATTGTGTGAGACATCTTCGTACTTCAGTAGACAGCATACGTCCACCCGAGCCTGGAAGTCCCAAAGCAGTATGGTTGTGTTTGGTTCACGTACTAGAGAACTAATCAGTAAACCAAAAACTAAAAACCCAATAAAGTAGGTCTGTAGAAGCTCCAACACGGATGCTGATGTTGCGTTTCAGCATTGAATTTAGGCCTCAGTATCTTGTTAGTCAGGCATCTGAGTAGAAAGCCCCGAGTAGGAACAACCCAGCAATTCCGGCTGGCTTGCGGGTTAGACTATCCAGTCAAAGGCTCCAAAAGGGGTTCTCAAAGAAAGGCCCCTCTATCTGTGTGAAAGTACGGAAACTCTGGGAAGGGTCTCGTTCAAGTCATCTTCCTGGCTGGTGACTTTGCGACTAGTTTAAATGATGTTTAAGAGCACTGACTGGTATGACTGAGTACCTCAGACAGTAACGCTCATGTATCTACTCGATTTCTTTTTAAACTGCCTAACTATGTTCTCTGTCTTCGGCTTGGTTCTATTCCCAGCTTTCTGCTTATCGGATCTACTCATTCGTCAAACGGACAGGCAAAAGACAACAACCAAAAACACCGCACGAACGTGTGATGATAATGGATGCTGGTTTACTAATTGAGGGTATCCTGTTTGGTTAAAACATTCTATGTCCGTTTAAATGCGATGCAAATCTTTGTGATGACCGACAAAGAGCATTGGACAGCTGTTTCTGGTAAAGGTTTGAAGTCCCAATCCAAAGGTTTGTGGTTCGAGTCCTGACAGAAACAGAAAAAGACGCGCTGCTGACGAGTCCCAAACGGGACAAAACAATTGTCCAGTGTTCTTTGTTGTTCGCTACAAAGATTTCTGTCGCATTTAAAAGCATTTAAGTGCTGGGATCTCAAATATCACCCAAGGAGTGAAACTCACACCTAAGATCATCAGTTTCAGTTTGAACAACCATTAACCATGCACTTTCATGCGCCGGTTTTGGTTGCTGTCTTTTGGCTGCCCATTGGGATGAAGAATAGGAGAAGAAAGTTGAAAGTGGAGTCGAAAAGAAAATGGAGAAGTTCAGTGGTCTAAGGTTGGAAAGAAATTGAGGAGATGCACGAACACCACTGTTTACGACACCCAGCCATATCGCTCAGTGTCTCTAACCATCGGTTACGATCATCCCGAGGTCCCCAGCCAGGGAGCCTAACAGGACCTAAGATCATCAACATTGCTTATTGCCTATGAAAATCCCAATGAGTTGATCCAAACATCCACCGTTTAAATTCTGAGAAGTTTTTTTCTTCGGGATACTAAACATTTTACGAAATACTAATACCGTCATATGCTTACAAATAATAGAATGAATAGTCGATAGCTGGTCACTGGAATCACCAAGCCTACAAATAAAAGTAATGGACACAACTTCGAGCAAAAATGTCAGCCCTTTCTTCGTATGGCAAGCATAAAGTTCAGAAAAAGGGTGAATTATGCAACAATCGGGACTGCCATATAATGAGAAACAAATTTTACTGTTTCTCGGTATTGTTACACTCTTGTTCGTCGTTTCGCATTACTTTGTATTTGTCTATCGAAATTTTCCCCTCATTCCTTTTCAGTCCCTGTCGTCCATTGGTATGTTGTATAAAACCTAGATATCGGTCCTTTGCCTTCTCCCTGTTCAACGACCGTTAAGATCGTCTCTCACATCAATTTATTCAACATACAGATTATCTCAAAATGGAACGCTAGCTCCGACCCGAAAGATTTGATGCGGACCCGAATACTACCAATTCCTCGAAAATATGGCGGCACTGGTTTTGCACCTTCGACAGATTTCTTACTAAAATTGGGATTGAAGATCACGAAAAATTGAACCTTCTCTACAATTACATTTCTCCAAGTATCTATGACTATGTTGCGGATTGTAAATCGTACAATGATGCTGTGAAAACCCTGAAAAAGCTTTTCTCAAACCACCAAATGAGGTGTTCGCCCGGTATCTACTGGCCACCCGCAAACAGAAACCAGGGCAAAATTTCGATCAATTCTTTCAGAAGCTCAAATCTTTAGCCAAAGATTGCAACTTTAAGGCCTCAACGGCTGAACAAAATCAGGATGACGCCATACGAGACGCCTTCATAAGCGGGATGCAGTCAGGCGTTGTGAGACAGCGTTTTCTTGAAAACAGACGCCTAGATCTACGGCCCTAGAACTAGCTCGATCACTTGAAATGGAACAACAACAGTCTAATGCTTTTCAGACATCACCAATGTCGTATACAACAGCAGCCTCAGGTTCATCTGAACCAATAGAAAGTCCCACGTGCGATCTCAAGGAAAGCAACAGCCCACATGTGCAAACGTCAGCCGCGGTCAAAACTAAATGCTATTTTTGCGGAAACGACAGACCCTCGTTTCAAATGTCCAGCTAAGGACGCAGTTTGAAGCAATTGTGGGAAGGACATTTCAAACGGGTCTGCAGATCGCTTCCGGAGAAACGGTCAACCTCAGCTATTATGCTTGCGCTCTCAATCAGTCTGGACGTCCGCTCCGGCTTGTCTCACTAACGCACTAGTAAAAATCACCGTGAATAAGATCCCCATTGAAGCTCTAATAGACACCGGAAGCTCCGGAACCTATTTTTCTGAAACGAAACCATCTGAAGGTTATGCTGTCATCTAGCACAATCTTGATGGCATCCACGAGATTGGTTAGTCACACGAAAGGTCACTGCCTAGTCGTGATAGACCTCAGGAACAATTCATACGACAATTTCAAACTCAGTCCTTTCACATTTTTGTGCCGATGTATTACTGGGATATGATTTTTTGAAACTCCACAAAGCAGTTAAAATCCCGTTGAGGTAACAGACCCTCTCCTTCTCTTAGTAACGTAGCTGCTTCACACATCGAACCACCATCTCTCTTTGGGAACTTGCTGCCGGATTGTAAACCCATTGCAACCAAATCACGCCGCCACACTCCTGATGACGAGAAATTTATTCGATCGGAAGTTCGTCGTCTGCTTACGGAGGACATCATTGAGATTTTAATTTCACCCTGGCGAGCACAGGTCCTTGTAACCACAAATGAATGACACAAGAAACGCATGGCAGTCGATTATAGTCAAACTATCAATCGTTACACGCTGTTGGACGCTTACCCACGGCTGCGAATAGACGAAATGGTGTCTAAAATATCACGATACGATGTCTTCAGTGCCTTAGATTTACGAAGTGCATACCACCAAATCGATATCGAAGCAAAAGATCGACCATTCACTGCCTTTGAAGCATGCGGCAGGCTGTATCAATTCTGTCGAATACCTTTTGGAGTAACTAATGGTATCGCTTGCTTCCAGCGGGCAATGGATAAACTCATTCAGGAGGAAAATCTGTTGGGCATCTTAGCCTACATCGACAAAATTACAGTATGCGAACCGAACAAAGAAGATCACGACAAAAATCTAACGAACTTTTTCAAAGCCGTTGGAAAATATGGGTTAACTCTAAACGAAGAAGTGTATCCTTGGTACCAACTTCTGGGTTACGAAGTCTCTCACGGTAAAATCAAAAATGATAAAATTCTGAGATGGAGAATCGAAC